AGTGGCAATCCTCCCTTAAGGACGACGGTTACCCCTGCTCATCAGCTTGGTTACGCGTTCCTCTATGGATCCCGTTATACCTGCAAGAAGAGCACAAGAAAAACAGTTAGCGTTGAAAATCAAAAAACGAATAATAAAGACTAGCCGGGGAGACACCCAATTACCTAGGAGCCTATGGGCCTCAGCCTCTGACCGACACTCGAGCAGAGCCTTTGTATTGATACATCGAGTCTCTATCCGTATCTCCCCGTCCGCATTACGGATGTACTCCCCATCGGGGGACACGCACTTCCGAGGAGGAAGACGTCCGACGAAGTCCGTTAGCTTTCTAAAATCCAAGTTATCCTCCTCCCCTAGGCGAGATGGTCGATAGATGAAGCTATCAGTGCTCGAATGAAAGTGCAGATCCATCCACTCCAAGGGGAAGTTAGACTCATAACTGTCCCCGGATTGCCCGTCCACGACAATCACCTTTCTCTGGAACAGGGCTTCATAGGCCTCGTCCGTCACCGACATGACCACAAACCATTTGTCCTTGAACCCCCGCACTGAGTCGGTATATGGTCGGAAGAGTCTGGTCGGCTGCTTAAAGAGACCCAGTTGTGTCGACTGGCCACCGTCTGCCGCTGCAGATGAAAGATGCAAAAGAACAACAGGATGGTGGCCCCGAGTTCGAGATAGTCACAGAAGATTCCAAAAGCCCGGATGAAGGCGAGGGAGTTTGGATGGAGTTGGATGGTGCCAATATCAGGTGATCGAACACGCCCTGCTGGAAAGCCGTGAACGGAATTCACATCCCCACCTCCTTGAAAGAAAACTCATACATCGGGAACCGACGACCGTCGTACCGCGAGCATATACGATCCGACTCCTGTGGCCGGCAGGCTCAAAACTGACGGGGACTCTCGGCCACCCTATCTTCGATCACAGCGAACACCTCGGAGTCGTCGAGGACGAACCTCGACATATAGTTTAGAGGCTCATCCTTGACCCATTCCTCTAACGGCCTCTCCGGGGGATCTGCGACGACCTTGTCCTGGCGACCTTCGTCGTCTTCAGACATGTACCACTGCACCTCTCTTCGTCATGGTCCGCCATTTTAACTGAAAAGCAGAGGAACTTGGTGAATTCGACAACCAAATCAAACCCACCCTTCCACCACAATTCAAGTGAAAAGGCATGGTTACCTATACGCCCAGAAGACGATTCGGGGGTGGCCCTGCCCCCGAGGTGCCCAGGGAGTACCTCCCTATCCTCGGCGTACTCATTAACCCATGCCTGGGGAATTCATCAACTACCCTCGGGGCATTCAAAGGTCTTTCGATCCTCCTCGGACCACTCTTAGCAAGGGCCGAGGACAACCAGTCTCTACCCTAATTTTGAAAGACCCTCCGGTGTATTCGCCGAAAAAGTCTACGGTCATTCCGGCACCCCCAGCGGAGCCGCCAGAAACGCTGCCGGAAACCCTAACAAACACCAGAAGTAAAGTAGGAACTTACGTGATGCGGTGGCAGAAAAAACGGTCGCGTTGGGCTGGAAGATTGTGGAAGACGAACAAAAAGATTGAAGGCGCCGAGCAGATATTTCAAAATGTCGAGCAACAACGAAAGAAACGAATGAACGGAAGGACGAGCTGGATCTGCATATATATATATATATATATATATATATATATATATATCCCTAACACGGGAAACGAAGCGTCGCTAAGCACTCAAGTACCCAGCTGGTAGCCTCCACAAGAAGACACGTGGCAATCCTCTACCTTCCATGCGTCTCTTCAGATTCTCCTCCTCGACCGCGGGCTTCCCCTATATCGTAGGCTCACTTGGCCGACATAGCCACAACCTGCCCGATAGAGCGACGCGCCCGACGCCCTTCGCTGCTTAAGTCATAGCTCACGTGACCGCGAGCAACGACTCGGGGGGCTACTGTTCTGAATTGGGCCGACGCTTGGCCCACAATCGAGCAGACCCCAAACCCAATTGGATTTGGGCCCAATAAGACCTCGTCGACGGGCAGACGATCCGTCGGGCACAACACCTTCTCCCGTCGGACACGTGCCAACAGCTGTCGGGCAGGACCTTCGTAGCTGTCCGGATGACCTCCTTCCCCCCCTCAGTCGGGCAGAACCCAGCCAGCCCGGAGAGCTCCTCAGACCTTCCCCACGTTCTCTACGTGTCCCCCACACGGAGACACGTCATTAAGTAACTACCCGTGTCCTGATGAGTCGGTCATCCACCTCCCAAATAACACGAAGTAGTTACACTAGGGTGAAGACCCCGTGCTGGACTTCACGACGCCACGTTAGCCCTAGCAGTTACCTACGTTGGGTCTGGCAGCCCAGCCCAACGCAGAGTAACCGTTGGCCCTGCGCCAGAGGCTCATTATAAATACCCTCTTCCACTAGAGGGCCAGGTAATCAATTCTTACTCCTTTTCTCTGTACTTGTAATCGCTCTGCCCGTCACTTACTTTGACATCAAAGTGTGTTTCAGGTACACCCCCTCTGTCCATCAAGTCTATCGTTCGACAGCTCAGACGTCGGGCAACCCAACGATCTCTCTGGTCAGATACGATTAGTTATAATTCACACAAATATATTCCAAAATATTTTCAAATTTAATTCCTTAAATATTGATAAAAACTTATTTTATTTACCAAAATTTTAAATAAACACATAATTATCAATGTCAAAATGTCACAATGCTCTCGAAAAATAGAGAAAAGAATCCAAAAAAATAGTTAAATAGAAGAAAAAAACAGAATTCTAAAATAAAAACATATGAATCTATTTAAATTTATTAAATTTGTCTCAACCCAAAACAGGAAAAAACAGGAAAATTCTTAGATAATACACATAATATGTACTTCTACATAGAATCAATCATAATTTTTTTATTAAATTAAAAAATAAAAAATAATATTTTCTCTCTCATTCTCATTCGATATTACAACAATTTCATAATTCCAATTAAAAAAAATTAAAGTTTAAAATTTTCTTTTTTTCAGTACTTATCTCTCAAATATCTCCTTATTTACGCAAGTGACCTACATGCACGCATTCTTCCGATAAAGCGTTGAAATAAAGCAACAAAAGGAAAAGCGGTGGCTGTGGTGACCTAAAAGTAGCTCATAACGCATCGACAAAAAGAAAAAATCCACAAAGTTCCGTAAGTTTCACGACTCTCTGCGGTTCAAACCCAGTTAAGCATTACTTCGCTTTTGTTTATCCTCAAACAACACCATTTCCGAGTACTAAGAGCAACTTTAGCGCAGGGTTGTTAAACCAAAATTTTGTATAGTTTAAGTTGATAATAAAGAATTTGCATTATAGTAGAGCTGACCTGTCATTTAGTGAGCTAAAATTTAGTTTCTATTATAATATTATTCAATGTAAAATATATTATAATATTATTTAATATTAATAAAATATTACCTTCTATAAATTCTATAGAAACTTTAATTTCATATTTTAGCACCCTTAAACTAAACTGCCAAAACTAAACTCAACAAATTCAAATTTAAATAACACAAAAACTAATCAATCAACCTATACATTCCCACTTAAAATCAAAATCATGTTTATAACCATGTTTATATGTTTTTTCTAAATAACACAAATTTAACGTGTTTGATTTTTTTAAAGTAACTTTTGATTTACATGAATGTATCCAAACATAAACACATTTTACTAAACTTAAATCTATTAAAATCAATTCTACTAAATTCAATTTTATCAAAATCAATTATGTACACGCCAATTCAAACACAAAATAAATCAAACAAACAAACTAATACTAACATGAATTTTTAAAACTTTGGTTTAAAAATATAAAACTTTGGTTTAAAAACATAAAACTTTAAACGACATGCATATACTTGAAAATACCTTAACTTACAACTTAAATAATCTTTAAATGAAAGTGAACTTTAAAAGTAAAAAAATACACAAATAAATATAAAAATTTCAACTTCAAGGTTTGGGGGTGGTTTTATATAAACAAAAATAAAGTTCAATATGACATTTGATTTATAGCTGTGGAAGATGAGACCCTTGGTTCAATATATCCACCACCAAATTGAGTCTTTTATGTTGTTTTCACAATTATAGGATTTATTGAAGAAAAATCATGAGATTTAGAGTTAAATCATGAGATTTCTATGATACTCTACGTTGTGTGTATTGAAGAGAAAACATGAGGGTTAAAGTTAAATCACAAGAGTCATATGGTACTCTTCATGAGTTGCGTGTATGGTGGAGAAATCATGAGACTTATAGTTAAATCATACTCTACTTTGTGTGTATTGAAGAGAAAACATGAGGATTAAAGTTAAATTATGAGGGTCCTATGATACTCTCTATAAAAATGTAATTTTTTTTATGTATTATTGTTGTAAATTTTGTATCATTTTTAATTTTATAATAAAATATATTTAATATTATTTTTAAGTTTTTAAGGCAAATTTTATTAAAAAAATTATATGCGTTTTAATTAAAATAATTAAATTAATGGTAACTTTAATAAAAAATATAAAATGTGAGGTCCAGTTTTGGTTTCATATAGACAATTATTATTAAATTAAAAACTATTCAAATCAACTATAAATTTTTAAAATCCTACAGAGCACTTTTGGCCCACAAAAAATATTTTAGTTTACCCATTTAATTTACTCCTATTAAAGATGCTCTAATAACTCTAATAACTCTCAATATACTAATTCATTCTTTCACCTCTCGATAACCTCGACGGTAACCACCGCCTCATACGCGTATCTCTTTCAACGCGATAATTTTCTTCTAATCAGGTTACTCTCTTTCATATCAGCTTCTCATCGTTTTTCTTCTTTAATTATTATTTTCCGATTTCTCGCGCGAGCAAAATTAATTAATCATGTGAGCAAAATCGTTGAATGTTTTACTGATTAATTGAGTAATTAACTATTATTATGCAGAAATTGAAATTTAATTAGGATTCTGGAAGTGGCGAAAGGGGAAAAATGAAATTCGGGAGCACATTTACGGAGTATCTGCAAGAAGAGCGAGAGTTGTTGATGGATGAGAATTGTGCGCATATTAAATATGACAGGTTGAAGAGCGTTTTGGAGAGTTGTCAGAATTGCAAAGATAGCTCTTCTGATCATCAACATGAGTCGTGCGATTGTCAATCTTGCCCAGGTATGCCGGTGTACATGTTCTACTGGTTTATGTTTATGTTTGGTTTTTGTGTTTGTACAACTATGCATTTGTCCAAAGGTTTATGCATTTATCGAGTTAACTAGTACTTTATAAATTACTTGTAACACGTAATAAAGTGAATTTAGTTAAGTGTAGTGAACACATGATGTCCATCACCCAATTTCATCCCCAACAGCTGATTCGGCTTCACCGTCGGCCCCAACGCAGCAACAACTTTTGGCGACACAAAATTGTGGCTAGCACCACTATGGCGATGATAACTACAACATTTACCCCAAAATTGTGGCCCTCTATGCGCACAGTCATAGGTGGATTTTTGGGATGAGAAATCTTCTCTAACCCAAACAAACTCATGGATTTTTGGGATGAGAAATCTTCTCTTACCCAAACAAACTCATCTAGTCACAGTCTGGAATCTCCTCTTCGTATTGGACATCCAAAGAATGTATTGGACATGACATCTTGGGTGACACGAGCAGACTTCAATTTCACAGGCTTCCCTTGAAAAATCGGGTAGGTCAGACCAATGATAAAATTACAGAATTGTAAAGAAGAATAAAGACAATTTAGATGTATTATTAATGAAAAAGTAGTTTCCAAAGCTAGTGCTCCTACCAGAGAATAAACTTCTACTAACTAACTAGTTCATTACACAATTCTCATAACTTCTCCTCCCCCGTTACAAAATATATATCCCACTCTCTAGCACACTTCCTAAATTAAAGGCCACGTCAATAGCTGACTCCCACTCCCTCTCTTGGATTATTCTTTCCACTTTGCATATAGACTCTCCAAACATGTGGTTTGGGCCTTGCTTCAAGAAACTCACACTCCTTGGGCCCATGTTCTCTATCAAATAGCTACGACTTGTGATGATATCTGAACTAGAAAACATAATGGTTCGTCACTTATTAAAGAGTTCAAATAAGATTGTAGATGTTTATGTGAAAGTTAAATCAGACATCTTAAAAGCTGATTGAGATGCAGAATTTAATTTGAACCGAGATGAAAAGCTATTGTTTAAAAACCCATGATTTATTATTGTTTCTTGATATGTTTATACAAACTGGCTCATAATGCTTATTACCTTAGCTGAAGTTGGTGTTTATTCACCTACATGTGGTTGGTCCAAGTGGATATGGACTTGAGCACCTTATGCAAGTGGTCATTATCAGTGGTTCGATCCTTGACTCTTGGACATGGATTAAGCTTGGTTAGAAGTAGAGAACCCTCATTATATGACCAACGCTAGCTGAAGTTGGACATGTTATCGCGTGTCTTTTTATTTAACCAAAATGTTTTAGTTTATGAAGTTTAGTAATGTACTTTTCTTTTCCACTTGTAGTATGCGATCAGAAGTTCTTCTCAGAGTTGATGAAGGAAGCATCAGATATAGCAGGATACTTTAGTTCGAGAGTTCAACATCTCCTAAATCTTCATATTGCAAAAGGACTTCAAAGATATGTATTGCGTTTGCGCCAGTGTTTCAAAAATGATAAAGAAGCCCTGTCCCAAGAAGGGAGAATTCTAATCGAGTATATTTCGATGAATGCAATTGCAATGAGGAAAATACTTAAGAAATATGATAAAGTATGTATCAACTGAGACAATTTTCACGTGATGTACCCCTCTACACAGTTAATGTTTTTTGGGTTCACTACATTCTTTATTACTATAATATCTCATATGAAAATGAAGAAGATAACATGTATAACTATATATCTAATATCCTTTGCTATTTTCATCAGCTGCACAGCTCTATGAATGGGGAGAATTTCAAATCTAAGATGCTTGCTGAGCATATTGAGCTTTTACATTCACCTTGGCTGATTGAATTGGGTGCTTTTTATCTGAATACAAGTGGACTAGATGGTTGCGAGCTTGATGGAATCCGTGGTCACTTTTCATGTGATTTCAATGTTACTAATGCTGTAATGACGCTGACTCTTCCAGATTCTATTAAGCTTGAGTATGACCTAACTTGTGCAATTTGCCTGGTAAGTCCTAAATGCATTACCGCACTACGAAAAAAAATATCGGTAAGACGCTAACTTTTATACATGCTTTGATTGTGATATGATAGGATTTTGTTTTCAATCCATATGCTTTGGGTTGTGGCCACATCTTCTGCAAGTCGTGTGCTTGCTCTGCTGCGTCTGTGATGATTTTCCAAGGCCTTAAAGCTGCAACTCCAGAGTCAAAGTGTCCTATATGCAGAGAGGTATGCATTTTGCAATCAAGTGTTGTTATATCAGTAACGAACTTCTTCAAGTAGGAAATCAAATATCAAATAAGAACTAGTTCTTAACTTAAAAACCATTAAGACAACCCCATCAGACACTCTTGGTTACTGTGCTCAATGTTGTCAAATAACGGTACCATAGTGCTATAACATAGCAGAATTTGAACAAATTGCTATCTCACCCCGATACGGTTTCGAGTACAAATTGTTGTCAAATAGCAGCTCTATAACACTGCTGCATAGAGAAATTTGGCAACACCGAGTGTGCAAAGCTCTGCAGCACCGACACCTCTGAAAAATGGCAAGCCGTTTTCATGTCGGACACCGACACTTGTGATTAAGTTTAATTTATTCAGATTTTCAAATTATTATCAGTGCCTACGTGTCGGTGTCTCTGTATGATGTGTCCGTGCTTTTCAGTCTTAAGGCCATACCAGCAAATTCTATTCACTGGCTTCTTAAAATACTAATGTCCTTAAAGCTATATATCCATTTGATTTTTCCTTTAACATCCACACAAAACATTACTTTCATTTCATTACATTGGGTAGAAGTTGGAGCTTGAGAGCATAATTTTAGTTTGCTTTTAATTTTAATCGTCAAGTCTTACTGTCATTTCTTTCTTGCAGGGAGGAGTTTATTCCAAGTCAGTCCGAATGTTAGAACTCAATCTTCTTATGAAAAGAAGGTATTGTATGTGTGGTACATGATAATAATATTTCATAACATTCATGTCTGAACATTGTCATCATAGTAACTTTCAATATTTGCCAGGTGCAACGATTATTGGAAAGAGAGACTAGATAGGGAAAGAGTTGACTCTTTGAAGCAATCAAAGGAGTACTGGAATTTGCAGTCTATGTATGCAGTTGGATTGCCGTAGGTTTTGTTATGATTTGTCCATTAAAACAATTTTTAGGATGTAACGGCTAGAAAATGGCTTTTATCAAAGAGAGACATGGCAAATAAAACTGGGAACTCAGGGAAGTTGGTGCCATTTTCTCTGATAGACAGTTGTTTTTCCCTCTCTGTCGTTGTTATCAAGTACTTGTTATTCTTTTTGCAGTGCTCAGTTTGTAACAGAATCGTGCTTGAGAGAAATACCGAACACTGCCCGTTTCTTGTTCCCCAAGATACTGGCTCATCTTGAATTTTGAATATATAATCAACCTATACAATAAACCGTTGGATAGTCTAAGAACACGACTATGTATAGTTCACATTTGATATAATCATCCACATGGATGATTAGAAAGTGCTAATTACACAAATATTCGCATTTCCAAATTATTCGTTATTAAGTAAAATTCATTAGTTGCTTAAATAAATTAAGTAGTTAATATAATTTAAATTGATATAGTTAATTATATTGAGTAAATGATTATTGAATAGTACATCACAACTCATTAGCCATATACTTAATATAGTTAATTATAATTTTAAATTTTGTTAATTTCAGTTTTTTATGTGTAAATATATATTTTATATTCATTAGTTATTTAAATTATGTTGTCACAACTCAATTGTAAAGCCAAGTTTTGAATGAATGAATGGATCAGAGATTCATGTTAAAGTTTCCTTGAGCTTCAATTTTAATATGGTAACAATCGCTTTGGATTCTTTACAAACTATTACCTAATTCAATCTTCATCTTTCTTGTTATTGGCTCTTCATCTAGCTCAATAATGATGGATATTGATGAATCATCACCTATCTCAAAAAATCATCTCATACAACCAATTCTCATTGGAAGTTCATTCTCTTCAAACTCTTCTGGTAGTAACAGTTCTTGCTAGCAAGTGTGTTTAAGACACAAACTTCAAGAACATGTCGTAAATTTGAAATTTCTCCTATGTACAAAACATATACAAATCGTTTCAATAATGCAATCTTTGAGGAATATGAAATTTGAATTGTTCAAGATCAATCCTTGTTCATATGGATGTTCTCAACAACCGAGTTCTCACATGCAAACATTGTCTGAATTTTGGGACAAAATTCACAAACACTACAATGCAATTATAAAAGGCTTGTGTGCGTTGATTGCGCACAAAGCTCAAATCTACCAAGAAATTGAATCGCCAAATTTCTAAATTTATCCTTCAAATTAAAGGTATTGTTGATTTGTTACTCTTAGTTGGTGACCTAATTAGTACTTAATAAGATCAAGTTGATTATTCTTGTGGAATTCTGAAAGAGTATTTGTTATGCAAGTTTATGGTCGTCTTAAGCCTCATAAAATGTATGATGTTGAGGTACTTCTCTTTATTTAATAAGCTCAACTTGATAAATTTAGGAAAGAGCTATCATTCTCTAATGATTTTACCATCCTAGTTCATCATGAATCTAACTACTTGTGAGGGATGGTTATGGTCTTTTTGATAGTGGCTAGAATTATTGTGGATATGTCGCTCTAAAAAGTAAGCTCCTCCAACTCAAGGCCAACATGTTAGCTACGTGGAAGTATGATTATGAGAATTCTTTACAACATTGTCATACTATTAGAAATAAATAACTATAGTGTCATATTTTTCAATCATATAAAAATTCTGATTATGATGTGCTCAAATGTTCACACACACACACACAATATTTCGTTCCTCCCACAAGTTAATCAGGCACACAAGGTGTTTGAGAAAATGTTTATGACATTATTAGCTTTCAAGTTAAAGGTGACCTTTTTGATGTTTTTGCTAAGTCCGATCCCTGTAGTATAATGATTGTTACCAAAGACCAATATCCTTATACTGAAGAGATAAATGAGTTAGTCTCAACTATGGTTTGGTGATTCACGTGCTTTTCACTACTAATATTTCTTGATTTCCTTTTGCATGATAAAGTTTCCTATCTAAAAAATTATTAAGTCCAAGAAAGCAATGGTCGAAGCTTAGTCATTAAATTCATTGATTCCTCACAGTTTACTTCACACTATGAACCTAATTCCAAACTTGTATTTAAAAAAGTTCTATATGTTTCTGTTATTACTACAAATCCGTTATTCGTCTGTTAAGTTTTTCAAAGAGTGTTGTAATTTTTGAGTTCCATGATAACGTGCTTTATGAAATTCCAAGTTTCTAAACAAGTTTTACTTAAAGGATTCTTTGATGTCAATGGTTTGTATTATCTTCCTCACATTCACTTGGAATCCTCAAATGCATATAACTTGGCCTCTCTTGTTTTCAACAAATGTATATCTAGTTTTGTTTCAGATAAATACAAGTAGTTACCATTATAGCTTTAACTAATTGTATATTTTATGATGATATATCTCCTTGGTATTATAGATTAAGTCATTCCATCTTTAACACTATTAAAACTGTTTTTAATATGCGTGATATTAAAGTTCATAATAAGTGTACACCTCAAATTTATAACTCTTGCTGTTTGGTCAAGTCACACAGATTGTATGCTTCTATGTCTTTCACTGTTTATCATTCTCCCTTTGACTTAGTTCACAATGACTTGTGAGGCTTTACACCCTTTCTCTCTAGTTGTGGCTATCAATATTACACTGTCTTTACCGGTGCTTGAAGAGTGAAGACACAGGTGGTTAGAAGATTCAACCAAGTCACCTAAAACACTATCAAATAAAAAATCGATCTCACAAGAGACAAAAAGGGTGATTAGAAGATTCAATTTCACTTTCACATAAAAGAACATCGATGTCATGTGAGTCAATAATTAATCGATGTCATGCGAGTCAATAATTACTCTACGAAGATTTAAAAGTTAAGGTCAATTAACTTTTAAAATATTTATACAAAATTTTGTATAAAGTGAATCGATGGCATGTGTATAATATATAATTTTAAGATGTATATAAATGAACATCTGGTTACACGAATATCATACACTACAATATATTTATTGTTCATAAATACAATGAACATGAACAACGACTATGAATAATGATATAGATATGAACAATGTGAATCGAAGTTAATTAATTGAGTGTAAATAGTTAATTAATGAAGGAATGAAATTAATTAATAAACGTCTAGATATTTAAAATAATTTTTATTAATAAAATAAAATTGGTTAATAAAATATAAAATATTGGTTAGTGAGTGATAAAATTGATAAATCAAATGATTTTATGTCGGTGTACCTTCATCCAAAAAAAGAATATTTTATTTTTATAATAAAACACTATTAATCTTATTAAATATATTGGTGAATAGAAAATATAAATGAAATATGTATGGGTGAATGGTGAATATGGTATAATGTATAAATATGTATTGGTGAATGATGAATATGGTATAATGTATATGAGTTTGACGTACAAATAAAATATGAAAAATGATATTTTTACACTAATTTTTAACACTACACCGTATTAGTACATCCTACAATCTACTGATTTAATTTTTTAAATAATTTATTTAACTTTGATTTCCGTGCATTGCATTTTTTTTTTTGATTTATACGGTATAGAATATAGGTGTAAAAAAAGTGGTGTTAAAATAGCATAATTGATAAAATATCTACTCTATTTTTAATTATCATTGAAGTTAAAAATTGTGTATAATATAAATTAATTTACATTATCTATTAGTATTTTAAAATTAAAGGTTTAATTTGACAAAATTTAGTTGATAGATTTACATTATCATACATTTTTTTTCTTCTCATTATCGTCAAATTTACATTAAAATAATAATTAATCTCTCATAAAAAACAATTAATCTACTAATCTAATGTTACGTCGTAAAGCCATATCTAGAAAAGAACTAACGTGCCCATCTACACTTCTCTCCAAAGCCGTTCAGTGCTCTAATATCTCGAAGCTTGTTCGGATTATCATTGTCATTGCCAGAATGTCAAATTTTTTCAGCTCGTGGTTATGGCTTTCTCGCTTTCGTTCATCTTCATTCAACCACTCCTTTCGCCGCACTTTCCATAGCATCACCACCACCACCACGCCTCACAAAAACGCACTCACCTCCTCCAATCTCCTCAACTCGCACAGAACAAACAACCCCTGGACCAAATGGTCAATTCCTCTCGCTCTCGCTCTTTCCGCTGGATCACTTTCTCTTCAACCTCATTCCGATCCTTCCTTCTCCGAATCCCTTGATTCCGATATCAGGTACCGCTTTCTCAATTATGTAACAGTGATCATCTTCTTCACGTTTTTATCCCAATTTCAACTCCTTCCATTTCACTGATGTTAATCGTACCATAAATGAGGTCATGTTCTGGAAGCTTCTCAGTTAAAATCAGTTATGAATGAAAAAGTGCTTATAAGTTTATAGAGAAGTGAACTCTGAGAGCTAGTGAAAAAATGAACCTGCATCATGCATAAGCTAATTTCAACTTATCAAAGCTGTTGCTTAGAAATGTCATAATTATTGCGAGTTTTTTTTTTTACATATATTATTTCGATTTAATTCACATACACATTAAGTGCATAGCAAGGTTTTAGAAAAAGGTTGTGGAGCTTCGCAATTTAGGTCGGTACAAGTGTTGTGACAGTGATTGCGGTTGTCGCGGTGAGAATTCTTTAACATAAAAACGGTGAATAACGGTATCACTATCGGCACATGCTGATACTGTTTTGTCGCGGTCGTTTTTGCTGTCGTGGACTGTTTTCTTAAACCTCCGTGCAGAGTTTTTTACACTTTCAAAGTTTCAATCATAAACGTTTGATTTTAATTACTTTTAAAGTTATAGATGTGATTGGTGTTACTGACTGTGACTGAAAGCATCAAAACCAAACTCTTGTTTTTTCTTTTCCTATAAGTGTTTTTTGAGAAGCTATGCAAACTAACTTATAGTATTGTTAATCTTTTGTTGTGTGAGATAATGGAGTAGGCCAAACAATAGTCAAATATGGGATTATACTTGCATTGAAGTTTTTTTTCTCTCAAGGATATATTA